TTTTTTTTTTTTCATACATTCTTCAACACTTGAAGACAGCCAAACATATCCGCACAGCTGATCGACGGAAACAAACTCAGTCACAACTAATTTGCAATGTGGTCGGTAAAAAATCATCATTTTACATGGATATGTGCAGAGCGTTTTAGGAGCCAATATTCCTTTCCTCAAAGTAAATAATAAAATATTTCGTAATTTTTTAACAAAATATACAGATAAAGAAATACCAGAAGAGTCAACTTTACGCAAAAATTATTATCTGATTGTTATGAAGAATCAATTAAAAAAATTAGGAATGATATCATTGGTAAAAAAATATTTGTTTCTATAGATGAAATAACAGCTTACGAAGGCCGCTACGTAGCAAACGTGATTATTGGTATTCTTTATAAAAATACGCCGGGTAAATTATATTTATTGAAGTCTGAAGAGTTAGATAAAACAAATTACTTCACAATTAGTAAAGTTTTTGATCCATATTTCTTTTATGGCCAGAAGGCATTTGTCACGATGATGTTCATTTATTTGTTACTGATGCCGCCCCATATATATGCGAATAATTGCTGCCAATTCGTTTAAAGCGCTTTATTCAAAAATAGTGCACGTCACCTGTCTTACATATGCACATCATAGAGTAGCGGAAAAAAATTCGTGGAAAATTCAATAATGTAGATTTGTAGACTTGTGTAAAACGTTAAAAATGTATTTTTGAAAGCACCATCACGTTTAGAGATTTTTAAAACAGAATTCTCTGGTATTCCTCTACCTCCAGTGCCTATAATAACACGTCGGGGAACATGGTTAGAGGCGGAATTTTACAACTCTGATAATTTTACAACTTTACAAAATATATTTTTAGAATTTAACTCAGATGACGCGGTTTCAATCGAAAAAAGAATTAGCATTATGGCTGAACCAAATTTAGGCCCAAACTTAACATTCATTTAGTCCAACTTTAGATTTTACCAGACAACATAACTAAATTAGAATCATCTGGATTAACTTTGTTTGAATCAATTAATGTTGTCAATTATACTAGAGAAACCCTCAAAATGGTTAATGGAAAAGTGGGAAAAGAAATTTACGACAAATTTCAGAATGTAATGGAAAAAATAAAGAATTTAAAACTTTGGTACAAATTTTGAAAATGCATTCCAGTGAATTTGATACTATGGAAGGAATAGAAAAAGATTTGAAGGTTGAGGATCTTGCATTCTTCAAATATGCTCCAATAACATCAGTTGATGTAGAATGAAGTTTTTCATGCTACAAAAATTTACTTCCCGATAACAGACGCAGTTACAAATTTGAGAAAATTAAAAACATTTTAATTTTACCACATTAATTAGCACAGTGTAACGTTAATAATGTAATGATTAATAAATAATAAATAATATTGTAAATTAATGTAAATAAAACGCTATGTAAATTTAAAAAATGTATTTTAAATTGTAGTAAAATAAATAATATATAAAAATAATTACAAGTTAATAAAAATATTATATTTTTATTTTATGAATTGTATAACATTTTTTTGTGCATATTTTATCATTTTTAGCGCATATTTTGATTGCATATTTCGTAATTTTTTAGTGCATAAATGCATGCATATTACAGTAGTTTTAAGTGCATAAACATCTGAACCCTAATTATTATAATTAAAGTTTACACTATACAATTTTGTATTTTTTTTTTAACATTTGAGTATATTTATATTTATTTATATTTTATAAAATTAGGAATATTTTCAAAGAAGATTTTCAACAATTTTGTATTTATTATTTTTCTTCGATAAATATAACCATGTGCAAATAGGAATCGCTGGAATCGATACTTGATTTTTTTGGGTGCCAGTTAAAATCGCGAAAATGTAACGGTGAAAATAATAATCGCGTAATATTTTAACAGCGAAAACATTAATAGCTAAAAATAAGAAATATATCTGCATATATCTTTATAATATAATGAGTCATAATTAACATTAAAATAACATTAAAATCAAAAAACTATATAAAATAAAATTTAAATTTGATATTTTTCTTAAACTTGTGTAAGTATATAAAATACATCATCACACTATGATCACAATATATATGTAAAATATAAAGCTTGACAGCGGTTAGGTTTAACCACGGCTTATCTTCATTACGTGATCCAAGACGCAATAATACAAAATTACACTATTTATTATCTAGTATTATTATATTACAAAGGTATACCACTAACGAAAATAATTTCTTTCTTTTCGCTATTATTATTTTCGCTATTTTATTTTCGCGATTTTTACTTTCGCGATTTTATTTTCGCGATTTTTACTTTCACGATTTTCACATGGACTTGATTTTTTTAACAGTATCGGTGGATTTTAAATCTGTGGAATTGATATATGC